CCTGTCAAATGATATCCAACTAGAATCATTTGACTTGACTTGTCATCAAGTTTTCTTCTCAACTGATATGGCACATGTCTATGTGCAATAGATCCAAATACCTTCAGATAACTCAAGCTAGGCTTCACACTAGACCAACATTCTTCTGGAGTAATTCCTTCTAGCTTCTTTGTAGGACATTTGTTTAAAATGTATGTTGCAGTCGAAACAGCTTCACCCCAAAACCCTTTAGGTAAATTCTTGCCTTTCAACATACTTCTCACCATATTCATGATGGTTCGATTCTTCCTTTCTGAAATTCCATTTTGTTGTGGAGTATAGGATGGCACCACCTCATGCACAATCCCTTCCTTTTCACATAGCCTGTCGAAGTCTTTCGACAAATATTCTCCACCACCATCTGTTCTCAAAACTTTGAGCTTTCGACCACTTTGTCTTTCGACCATAGACTTAAACTTGGCAAATACTTCGATCACTTCACTTTTCTTCTTGATCAGATAAGTCCACAACTTTCGAATGAAATCATCTATGAATGTAACAAAGTATTTGTTACCTCTCATCGAATCCACCTGGATTGGTCCACATACATCAGAGTATATGACTTCAAGACTAGCATTTGACCTGCTTCCTGCATCCTTGCTGAAGTTATTCTTGTGTTGCTTCGCTTGCACACATTCCTCACATGCCTCATTTGGAATGTCGATTTCTGGTAATCCTGAAACTATATTTCTTCTCTTCAAATATATGATGTCTCTGAAGTTGAGATGACCTAGTCTATAATACCATATCCATTCATCTCTGCTAGCTGCAGTCGTAAGGCACTTGTGCTCCATCACATTTAGTTCAATCTTGAAGGTTCGATTCTGAGACATAAGAGCCTTCAAGATTAATCTCCCATTTGCATCCACGACTCTCATCATCTTATCTTCGATTGACACTTTATAATTATTTTCGACCAACTTCCCTATATTGAACAAATTTCTCTTCATGCCTGGTATGTACAACACATTGGAAATTACTGACCTCTTTCCATCTTTCCTCATAATCATATTGTCATTTGCAAATTTTACCATATTTTTCATTGAGGGATTTATATTGATAAACCAGTCTTTTCTTCCAGACATATATGATGAACATCCTGAATCCAAGTACCACTGGTCCTTGAATCTATCTTCATCTCTTGTTGTGACCATCAGCATCATCTCTTCTTCTTCTTCTTCTTCATGTTTTGTAAGCTTTGTATCACTTTCTTGATTCTTTCGTATTTCTGGACAATCACTCGAATAGTGACCATACTTCTGACAATTATAACATTGAACGTGACTCTTATAAGGTTTTCAACCACCACTTCTTCCTCTACTTGTAACACCACCTCTTTAGTTGCCTTGATATGGTCTTCTTTGATTCGACATGTTTCCTTCGATCTGGTTTCCTCTACCATTCGATTTGTTGTAGCCACCTCTACCTCTGTCGAAACACTTTCCTTTGCCTTTGGTTTCTTTTGCTGAATGTGCCTGCAAGGCCACATCACTCTTTGATTTTCCTGCAGCTCTTTCATTCATTCTTTGCTCATGAGACTCAAGCGTCCCTTGAAGCTATTCCTTTGTCAATTTCGACAAGTCTTTCCCCTCTTCTATCGCCACCACTATGTGGTCGAACTTAGGAGCTAAAGATCTAAAGATCTTCGAAACAACAACTCTTGTTGTTAACGTTTCTCCACATATCTTGATTTGATTTACTAGTTTTGTAACTCTAGTGAGAAATCAGATATGCTTTCACTGTCTTCCATCTGAAGCAGTTCGTACGTCCTTTTGTGAGTTTGTAACCTCACTTCTTTCACCTTCTCAGCGCCTCCAAAAGACTTCTCAAGGATTTCCCAAGCTTCTTTTGCAGATTCTGGATCACTAACTTTTTCGAAGTTGTCTGGGCTGACACATTGATGAATTATAAATAATGATTTATAACTCAGCTTCTCAGCTTTTGTGTATTTCTTCTTTTCTTCTTCTGAAGCATTTTCTCCAAGCGCTTCGACTCCATCTTTTACAAGGTCCCAAATACCTTGACACCTGAATAAGACTTTCATCTGTTTGCACCAATTCTCATAGTTGTCAACTTTCAGAATTGGTAGTGTTGCTGGATAGTTTGCATTCCCATAACTTGTCATCGTGAATTCTCCAATCGTTCTTGATTGATACTTCCCTTGAATCAAAACAAAAGCTATTGATACCAGATGTTGGAAATCCACCAAAAGACTATGATGAATTTCTACCACAATGACGATTAGTTATGAGAAAAACAAAGAAAAAAAGACAAAACAATTAATTTCTGCAGAGTTTCTCTCTGCTCACAAACTGTGAAAACTTTATTATTCACTTTGCAACTGCAAAATACTGTGAATGACTTGCTTGACTTGCTTACAAAAATAGGGGTTACTCTCTCTATTTATAACTGAGCTTACACCCTAAGCCCAAAGCCCAAAATATCTTTTTGTTACTAAATCAAATCTAATTTATTCTAGACTTAAATTAAATCTATTTAAATCTAAAACAAATCAAATCTTTTCGACACACTGGATTACAATTTAACAAACTCCTCTCAACTTATATAACTTTTATTATTTTCTGTACATAATTTTACTTAATACTATTAATTTATTTTAATATATGAAAAGTAAATAGAAAACACTCATGCTCCATAATCACCAAAAAGAGATCGAGATTTCTAAGGAAATCGAAATCTTGGACTCCTAGCCTTTCTCTGACAAATTTTTTTTTTGGGAGGGGGGGGGGGGGGGGAGAATCCTAGAAAGCTTCAAAACCTCATTGCTAACAAAATTTAATGACATGAGCGACTCTCAAAAGCATGTCACTTCCATCAACACTCAAATAAGTATCACTTGCATAAGCAACTCCTTAAAATTCAAGTTATACTAGAGAACCTTTAAGGACGTGGAACTAAGGTGATATATGAACTTACATGGCCTCACGGTCACTAGTTCCCAAGATCTGGTGAAGAAGTTAATCCACTAGTTCTCAAGAAGCAAGTATCAGAAAGTGTCAACCACAATCCTTTTCAATATTCGATAGGGATCCTCTGAGCCACTAAGATAATATCTTGTCTGATTCAACAAAGAAACCATCAAAGTTATACATCTGAACCAAGAAATGTTCGTAGAGGTTTTTCATAATGGTCTAAGGGGCCGAACACTTCAACAAATCCCTTTCCTAAGGGTCAATAGCTTCCATGGAAGAAATCATACCCCTGTTTGATATAAAAAAAATAATTTAAGTGAATGTGATTCAATTCGTAGGTTTATTACACAAGACAAAAAGTTTGAAAATGATATTTTTTTAATCTAAAAATCCTAAATTGAGTGCCTTAACACCCTAGGTCTCGTGTATGGATCTTAGGGTTAATAGTAATTAAATATAGGCTATTGTAACCTTAAGCTAAGAGTAAATTTTATAACATCAATAATGAGAACACTTAAGATTTATAGTAAAACATAAGACACAAACTTTATAAGGCAAGATCTATAATGATCCTAGACCAAAGACAATTTAAGTATCATATAAAATATTAACAAGTCCATGATTATAATTCTTATACAAATAAAAAATCTAATAAGCTAATGAATATGATTAAGAGAGATATAACTTGACTAGACTAAAGTTATGATGCAATTTCATTCAAATATTACTCATGTTTTGTTACGTAACAAATATATATATATATATATATATATATATATATATATATATATATATATATATATATATATATATATATATATATATATATATATATATATATATATATATATATATATATATATATATTATATATATATATATATATATATATATATATATATATATATATATATATATATATATATATATATATATATATATATATATATATATATATATATATATATATTTGTCTTTCGAAAGACTTTTCTTTACTATTATACCTCTTACGACTTATATGCATATAGTTTTATCATGTTATTTTTATGTTATATCTTATCTTTATATTTATTTTACTATTCACCAATAATAAAATATTATAATAATAAAAATATTATATCTTATTTTTATATTATATTTTACTATTCATCAATAGTGAAATATTATAATAATAAAATATTTTTAATTTTTTTAAATTAAAAAAGTAATTATACAAAATTATGTGATTAACCAATTTTATAACTTTATTAATTAATATTTTAAATATTATTAACAATTTTATAATTACTAAAAACCTGAATATTTATTAACTAATTTTATATTTTCATTAACCAATATTTTATATTGTATTAATCAATTTTATTTTAATGTTAAAAATTATTTTTAATATCTAAGTGTTTATTAATCAATTTTATCAATTTATTAATTAATTTTTTATATTTTATTAATCAACTTTTATTTACTACTAAAAATTATTATTCATATACTATTTACAGACACTGTTTACAAATATTATTTATATATTATTCACAGTACTATCCACAAATATATATTTTTATTTATAAAAATATTGTTGATAAATATAAATAATATATACAATATAAGTATTTAATATATAACATGGGTGCTTTATGATATTCATGTCATAATTGTTATTCTTTATAACAAACCAATAACTTTTTGAAAATAAAGTTAGTTTGAATTTAAAGTTAAAATTTATAGTTTTTTGACTATTGAATTCACTTTATAAACATTTGATTATGAAAAAAAGATTTGTTCCTAAATATAAACTCCTTTGAAATGATTTTTCTATACATAATCTTTTAATACTAGTAATTTATTTTAAAATATGAAAAGCAAGAAAACACTCACCCTTTTTCTTTTCTTTGAAAAGCAAGGTAAACTAGTGCATAGCTTGGAGAAAAATGATGAATAGAAGTGGTAACTGACACACAATTCATTGTAGCTAGCTGCAACAAACACACTCACTTTCTTCCATTTTTTCCCTTTCTCTTCACATTTTCACCAATGGGAGCTTGTTGCTCTATACACTCTTCATGCTGCTGGTCTTCAAAAACCAAATCAAATCATCAAAATCTCTCAGATAATGGTGACAACTCAGAAAAAAACAACAACCCTTTTTTTGTAATGTAATAAAGTTTTGGTTTTTAACACAAATTCGTTTCTGGGTCATATACAGATGATGATGGGAGCAAGAAGCTGAGGGATCCTTCGGTTGGTTTCACTGAGTTTAGTTTGGATCAACTTAGAGTTGCTACTGATGGATTTTCATCAGACAACATTGTTTCTGAACATGGAGAAAAAGCTCCTAATGTTGTCTATAGAGGTTGTCTTGAAGAGGATAGGTTGGTTGCCGTGAAGCGTTTCAACAAATCAGCTTGGCCTGATTCTCGACAATTCCTAGTTCGTTTCTCTGCTTTTGGTTCTGATTATGTTTTTTTGGGTTTGTTTTTGATTTGGTTTAATGTTGTTGTTGCTGTTGCTGTTGTGTGTGTTTTGTTGGAGTGTTTTTTAGGAGGAAGCACGAGCTGTTGGAGATTTGAGGAGTCAAAGATTGGCTAACTTGGTTGGTTGTTGCTGTGATGGAGATGAGAGATTGCTTGTTGCTGAGTTTATGCCTAATGAAACTCTCTCTAAACATCTTTTTCATTGTAAGTTTTTTTTTTTTTTTTCCTTTTGTTTCTCACACCTTGGGAAATTTTCTAATTTTGAATCTGAAGATTCTAAGTTGAAGCTAGAATTAGAGCTTTTGTCTCTACCATTGATTTTTAGCCTGAGCATATGTTTGGTTTAACTTTTTGGAAGAGTCAAAAACAGTTCTGGAGGTGTAGAATTGATTTTGGAATGATTTTGCGTTGTTTGGTTCTTCTAAAGTAGAATTGATTCTGCCTTCAGAATTGGTTCAACTCGAAACTGGAATTTGTAGCTTTTGGGTTTAGAGTGATTCTTACATTAAAATTTAATTTTCAACTCACTTTTTCATAAAGTTATCCAAAGATAAATAACTTTATATTATAGAATGAATTCCCTCAAAATCAATTTGACTTTTGGAATAGTCCAAAGTGACTTTAAGATGTAGAATTGATTTTGACTTGTTTGGTTTGATTTTGCCTCTAGAATTAATTCTACTTGAAGCTAAGAGTTGTAACTTTAGAGTTTAATCGAGATTTTAACACAAAATTATTGTTCAACTCATTTTTTGTATGAAAGTATCCAAACATAAATCACTTAAGTTTCAACTCACTTTTAATCAAAATCAATTTTCATCACAGCAGAACCAAACACGCACTTAATGCTATGTTTACAAGTATAAATTTCAATAATTTGTTCCATTAATTCCACTTCCTTTTTTTACTTTAAACAACTGATTTCATGATTCGTATGAACTAACTATCTTGGTAGGGGAGGCCCAACCGATGAAATGGGCAATGAGGTTGAGAGTGGCTTTGTATTTAGCAGAAGCCTTGGAATACTGCAATAACAGAGGAAGGGCACTGTACCATGATCTTAATGCTTATAGAATTTTGTTTGATCAGGTATTTATGTTTTTATAACCGAGTTTCTCGAATCATTTCATTATGTTTAATAAACTATATCTTTTACATAATGTCGATGGTTCGCAGGAAGGTAACCCTAAACTCTCTTGTTTTGGACTCATGAAAAACAGTAGAGATGGCAGAAGCTATAGTACAAATTTAGCCTTCACTCCTCCAGAGTACTTGAGGACAGGTAGTAAATGGTTTAAGCCCTATTTGGATAAACAATTTAACTAAGTGCTTATCAGATAAGTGCTTACGTATAAGCTATTTGGATAAACAATTTAACTAACACCTGTTTGAAATTTGGCAGGAAGAATCACCCCTGAGAGTGTAATCTACAGTTTTGGCACCTTATTGCTCGATCTTTTAAGTGGAAAGCATATCCCACCGAGTCATGTACGCTCCCTCAATTCCATTTCTTGTCTTCATTTTGATAATAGGCGGTATTTTTTCGTGTTAGCTATATGATTAAACTGTGCGTGTTCTCGAGTAACGTCCTATGATGGTTCGGTTTAAAATGATCAAAGTATTGTTTTAACTCGTAAGTAAATATGAGTCATGTTTCCTTTACGTGCAGGCGCTTGACCTTATACGAGGCAAAAATTTTCAAATGCTGATGGACTCGGGTTTGGAAGGTCATTTTTCAAATGACGATGGAACTGAGATAGTGAGATTATCTTCGCGTTGTTTACAATATGAGCCTCGTGAGAGACCAAATGCCAAGTCGCTTGTGACGGCTCTGACCCCCCTTCAGAAAGAAACTTCTGTATGCTCTTCCTTTTCTCTCAATGGATCAAAATTTACATTGGTCATGTTTAGAAAAACGGCTTAATTAATCGTTTCTAAGTTGTTCTTGTGTTATCGTACAAGAGTTTATGGACACGACATAAATCGTTTCTATAACCTCTTCCAAATCATATCACAAGTACTTATGTCATGTCAGTGTAGAAATGGATTTCACATTAAGCTTACAGATGATGATGTTTAACAGGTTCTGTCATATGTTTTACTGGGCCTACCGGATAGGAGTCTATCATCAAAAGAAACAGTTTCGTTAACGCCTTTTGGCGAAGCTTGTTCACGAAGAGATCTGACTGCAATACATGAAATTTTGGAAAAGGTCGGGGTACAAGGACGATGAACATGTTGCGAATGAGGTAATTCATTTCTTGTAGGTTTTTTAGTTAGTAAAATAACCTGATGAGTCGGTGTTGGACACCGGATACGTCTTCAATCTACAGTGTCGTGCAACGTAGATTTTTTGAGATTGTTCTTTTATAGTACTTAGCAAAGCTGGACCTAGTATAACCATATATAACTTTCGTCATATCATAGCTGTCATTTCAAATGTGGACAAATC